TTAAGAACCATGGAGAATAAATCTATCAAGGATAGGACTCCTACTCCCGCCATTCTAGAGATTTCCAGGATCCTTATCATGTGGCGCCTGTGGGCCATGGTCTTGGAGAGTACTTCCTAGAGCCGACGCCTGACGACCCTGCATGCTCTTATCAGATTGGACTCCGCAGAGAGGCATGTAAGACTAATTCTAAAACCGCCGCCCCTGTCTTGTTGCACCTTTTGGCCTCTCCCTCCTTATAAATGCCACTGCCTGCACTGAGATGTGCAGATGGGTTTTGGAACAAGCTTCCCCCATCTTCTCAGATTGCCGGCACCTGAATAAACCTCTTTCCTTCCTCACCACCACCTGTCTCACTGGACTGGTTTCTGGGGTGTGAGTCAGGGGGACCTTGTTTTTCTGGACACATTCCTGGTACATGGACTCCCTGGAACAGGTGTATCATGGCCATGTTCTTTCCTCTGCAGGTGACAGGGGGAAGCAGAGACGGGTCACAGAGTAAAGGAGCGAAGAACGGTGCTTTGACTTCAGAGCAAGAAGAAGAGGTAAGAAAAAATGGATCATAGGAGAAGGAGGAAGCATTGGGCATGGAGTCTGATCTGAGAGAGGAATTTTGACTTTGTGGACTGAACTGAGTTTAGCAGAAAAACCATACAGCCCTTGCAAAGAGCATGGCTGAGGTTTGGAGTTGGGAGAGATCATTCTATAAGTGATGTTATAAGACCTCGGGAATCATGCTTGCTGTTTCACCTGTCTCTTTGCTTCCTGATTTCCCAATCAGCTATCCCAGTACCTGTCTGTCCCTGAATATTTTGGTCTTGCCTCTCTCACCAGCACCTGAGAAGCAAGACCTCTGTTAAGAAGCCCACCTGGATGCTGATATTAGCTTTGTTCCTTTATCAGCTGTTAAAGGTATAGCATATTATTTGCATATTATTTGCATGGGGTGGCTTGTTCTATGCTTTGTGAGTTCCATCTGAGATGATCAGAAAGAAGGTGGTGGTTTTAGGACAAAAAGAAAAGTTGATCCAACAACAAAGTTTTAATTAACAAAAGAAATATTAAAGAAAAGTGCCCAGCTGGCATTGCTTACTTGTTTAGCTTAAACCTCGGAACCAGGATTTCTCGGTTCACTTCCCTGTCTGGGCAATGCCCAGGTTACAGTCTTGATCGCAGTAGGGGGCATGCAGTAGGCAACCAATCCATGATTCTCTGTCATCATTGATCTTTCTCTCTCTCTCTCTCTCCCTCTTCCTTCTTCTCTGAAATCAGTAAAACTATATGAAAAAAATGAAAGAATAGTCATAGCACAGTAGAGCATTGAGTCAATACAATATAATAAAAGGCTAATATGCAAATCGATAAAACTGCAGAAGGACTGGTCGCTATGACACCCACTGACCACCAACGGCAGATGCTCATGGCAGGAACTGTCCACCGGTGGTCAGTGCACTCCCACAGGGGGAGCGCCGCTCAGCCAAAGGCCACGCTCACAGCTGCTGACCTCAGGGATGGGGGGAGCCTCCACGGCAGCACTAAAGAGGTTCTAAGCCATCAGTTGGACATCCCTCAAGGGGTCCTGTACTGGGAGAGGCTGCAGAATTGGTAGAGGGACCGCCCTGAGTGCATAAATTTTGTACACTGAGCCTCTAGTACTATCATAACTGTTATGGTGTCAGATGGGTATGAGTTTAATTGCATGATTTCTTAGTCCACTATATAATGTATACTCATTGGGGTGTACCCCTGAAATGAACCTAACATTCTATGTCAACTGTCCTTTAAAAAATGTTTTAAAAATTCTACAGGACCATGTTACTTTCAAAGAATCATATTTTACATTAAGTACGTTGTGTACAGTTAGTTCTAGGAAAGAGATCTAAAGCTAAAAAGAAAGAAAAGTTGAGATTTATCAATTTGCAAAATAAAACAAAGGCAACCACAAACACAACCGTGAAAACCATAAATATTAAAGCCGAGGTAATATGCTTTTGGATACCCCATCCCCTGTTTTTCGATACCAGGACTGAAGTAGCAAGAGGTTCTGAGAACAGTGACTGTTGCTCCTTGGACCACGGAGGGGTCATGGCCGAACTACCATCGAAGGTGAACCTCACCTTGCACCCCAAGTGCCTGAGGATCCGTAGGCACTCGGTGTATGAGGACGAGAAACATCGCACATGGCTGCATCTCGTCATGGACACAGGTGTCCTGCAGGTACGCTTGCGCCAGGAAGACATCCCCAGTCAGCATATCAGACTCACCACCACCCCGCTGACCTCGAGCACCATGCCTTGGATGTGGACCCTCCATTCTGGCAGCCAGTACGTGGACCCCATGGCCCGGTTCTGGCGCATCGTGCACCACGTTAAGGGGAATGATGTGGAGGAAATGATCCTTGAGCTGATGGAACACTTGTAGGACACTTGATGGGGTTCTTGTCTCTTGTCAACCGGCGCCCCAGTCGTGCTGGCCTGCCGGTGGGATGTGTATAGTTCTGTTCACCTTTTTAATAATCTCTGTTGTTCTATCTGCCACCCCTTGGGTGCGAGGGCACATTGATTTCTCTCTATCTCTAGCTTTCTTCTTGTTGTTGTTGTTGTTGTTCTTGTAGCTGTTGTTGCTGTTCTTGTTGTTGTTGTTGTTGTTGTTGTTGTTCTTCTTCTTCTTCTTCTTCTTCTTCTTCTCCTTTCTCTCTCTGTCTCTGTCTCTGTGACTCACTTCTCTCTCTGTCTCCTTCTCTCTCAAATCAATAAAAGCATTTTGAGCCAAGCTGGTGTTTCTCAGTGGTTGAGGGATGACCTATGAAGCCGGAGGTCACGGTTTGATTCCTGGTCAGGTCACAGATAAACATTAACCAATGATCACTAGCTAGTTTGGCTCAGTGGATAGAGGGTGGGACTGTGGACTCTGGAAGGTCCCAGGTTTGATTCTGGTCAAGGGCACATGCTCTGGTTGTAGGCTGGATCCACAGTAGGGGGCGTGCAGGAGGCACCCGATGTATGATTCTCTCTCATCATTGAGGTTTCTCGCTCCCTTCCTGTATGAAATCAATCCTATATAATAAAAGCCTAATATGCTAGGTGTCCAGTCAACCGGTCATCTGTTCAATCAGTCAAAGCATAATATGCAAATGATATACTAAGGTTGCTCTACTGCTCGCTATGGCATTCACTGACCACCAGGGACAAGACATTCAGACTGGTAGGACAGCTTGCTGTTGGGTGCTGGCTGATCGGGACTGAGTGAGACATGCTGGACACACTCTGGAGCCCTCCCATGGTCCCTCCCCAGCTGGCCAACCTCCCGTGTCCTTCCCCAGACTTAATGGGGCACCAGTGGGGTGCCTTGGCCTGGCCTGTACCCTCTCGTAATCTGGGACCCCTCGGGAGATGTCAGAGAGCCAGTTTCGGCAGATCCCCACAGGCCAGGCAGAGCCACCACTCTGGTGCTCGAATTGCCCCAAACATTCGTTCTTTTTGGAGAGGGAAGTATTGGTTGATGAACCTCAGGAGATCAAACAATGAGAATGCTTGTCATTGAAATGGAAACTATTTCCCGTGATAGCCTCGAGCCTTGTCTACCGGGGCTGTGCTAATAGTTTGAGGCTTAAGGTGTTTTTCTTTTTCTTTCTCTGTTTAGTATATTTTTACTAGAGGCCCAGGTTTCGGACTCGATCGCCAGTAGGGGGCGTGTGTGAGGCGGCTGATCCGTGATTCTCTTTAATGCAACCATGGATGTCCTGAAATTGATTTCTGGGGCTCCCTCCGGCTCCCCCTCCAGCCTCCTCTCCCTGGTGCGATGGTTGATGAATTTTATGATAGCTGGGCTTTGTTTGGGGCTGTTTAGTGCTAAACAAAATTAAAAACCCAAATGCACACAGAGGTAGACGCTAAAGCCATGATTTTCTCTCATCATGGATGTTTCTCTCGCTCTCCATTTCCCTTCCTGAGTCAATAAAATAATTTACAAAAACATTAGCAATTGTTGCATTCAGATGGCATGCACATTGTTTTAAAAGTTTATTATTTTTATTATTTAACACACCAGGTGAGTAGTCATCTAAAGACTACCTAGCGCCCATGCTAGTGTGGGTCAGTGGATAGAGCTTCGGACTGCGGACTGAAGGGTCCCGGGTTTGATTCTAGTCAAGGACACATGCCCAGGTTGCGGGTTCAATCCACAATGGGGGTGTGCAGGGACTGCCGGTCCATGATTCTCTCTCATCATCACTGATGTTTCTATCTCTCTCTCCCTTCCTCTCTAAAATCAATATATATATATATATATATATATATATATATATATATATATATATTGTTTATAAAAGAGCCCACGCCTCGATATCTGTCATGTGTTGCACTGCAGACACTCTGTCTCATGACCCCTTTGGGCTCGTTTCCTTCGAGGGCAGTATGAGGGTGACATTTGAACTATGTTTTTTTCCTCCCAATTTTTTCCTTTTTATTTTGCTTCTCCAACAGGCAGATGTCTGACATTTCCTGAGAACCCCATTCATCTTTCCTTCCTAATTGGGGAAGAGTTTGCCTCAGTCTAGGTCACTGAGTTGGAGTTCTTTTTAATTTTTTTTTTCAGAGAGGAAGGGAGAGCGAGAGAGTTAGAAACATCCATGACGAGAGAATCATGGATCGGCTGCCTCCTCTACGTCCCTCACTGGGGATCGAGCTCACAACTGGGGCATGTGTCCTTGACCAGGAATCCAACCCGGAACTCTTCAGTTTGCAGGCCAACACTCTAACCACTGAGCCAAACCCGCCAGGGCCAATTTGACTTTTTAAAAGGGTGCAAATGCCTTGAAGAAGAACGAAGCATCTCAGCGCTCATGTCACAGTGGAAATTACAACTGACCTCACCATTCTTTCCACATTGTTCCTGTAAATGCAGACTCTGACGAATAATGAAGCTTGTAGGTAAACAGCATGTTTGTATAAGATTCCTAGCAACTAATTTTACAAGATATGAACTCTGACCTTCCCAGTTCTGGGAGATTTGATGACCTTCAACTTTAGAACCAGGAGGACAAAGTCTAGGATGACGCACACTGGACTGTCACCTGACCACTTGCAAGATCCTTATCAGATTGGACTGTGTCTGTCGGCATGGAGAGAACTTCTCAAGCCCCGCCCCCTGACCTCTTTGCTCTGTTTGGCCTCTCCCTCCTTATTAAAGCCTCTGCCTGCACTGAGATGTGCAGATGGGTTTTGGGGCGAGCTTCCCCCATCTTCTCAGGTTGCCGGCACCTGAATAAACCTCTTTCCTACCTCACCACCACCTGTCTCACGGAACTGGTTTCTGGGGTGTGAGTCAGTGGTACCTTGTTTTTTCTGGACACATTCCTGGTACATGGACTCCTGGGAATATGTGTATCATGGCCATGTTCTTTCTTCTGCAGGTGACAGGGGGAAGCAGAGACCGGTCACAGAGGAAAGGAGCAAAGAATGGTGCTTTGCATTCAGAGCAAGAAGAACAGGTTAGAAAATGATGGATGGGAGGAGGAGGAGGAAGGATTGGGGATGGAGTCTGATCTCAGGGAGGAATTTGGTCTTTGTGGACTGAAGTGAGTTTAGCAGCAAAACTCTACAGCTGTTGCCAAGAGCATGGCTGAGGTTTGAAGAAGGGAGCGATCATTCTATAAGTGATGTGATGAGACCTCAGGAATCCTACTTGCTGTTTCACCTGTCTCTTTGCTTCCTGTTTGTCTGATCACCTATCCCAGTATCTGTCTGTCCCTGAATATTTTGGTCTTGCCTCTCTCGCCAGCACCTGAGAAGCAAGACAGCTGTTAAGAAGCCCACCTGGACGCTGACATTAGCTTTGTTCCTCTGTCTGCTGTTAAAGGTAAACCATATTATTTGCATAATATTTGCGTGAGGTGGCTTATTCTATGGTTTGTGAGTTTCCTCTGAGATGATCAGAAAGAAGGTGGTGGTGTCAGGACAAAAAGAAAAGATGATCCAACAACAATGTTTTTTATTTATTTTTTATTTATTTATTTATTTATTTATTTATAATATTTTTATTAAATCTTTATTGTTCAGATTATTACATTTGTTCCTCTTTTTTTCCCCCATAACTCCCTTCCTTCCAGTTCGCACCTCACCCTCTGCCCTCACTCCCCACCCACTGTCCTCATCCATAGGTGCACAATTTTTGTCCAGTCTCTTCCCACATCTCCCACACTTCCCCCCCCCAAGAATAGTCAGTCCATTCCCTTTCTATGTCCCTGATTCTATTATAATCAACAGTTCATTCTGTTCATCAGATTATTTATTCACTTGATTCTTAGATTCACTTGTTGATAATGCATATTTGTTGTTCATAATTTGTATCTTTACATTTTTCTTCTTCTTCCTCTTCTTAAAGGATATCTTTCAGCATTTCATATAATACTGGTTTGGTGGTGATGAACTCCTTTAGCTTTTCCATATCTGTGAAGCTCTTTATCTGACCTTCAATTCTGAATGATAGCTTTGCTGGATAAAGTAATCTTGGTTGTAGGTTCTTGGTATTCATCCCTTTGAGTATTTCTTGCCACTCCCTTCTGGCCTGCAAAGTTTCTGTTGAGAAATCAGCTGACAGTCTTATGGGTATTCCCTTGTTGGTAACTGAGTTTCTTTCTCTTGCTGCTTTTAAGAGTCTCTCTTTGTCTTTTGCTCTTGGCATTTTAATTATGATGTGTCTTGGTGTGGTCCTCTTTGGATTCGTTTTGTTTGGGGTTCTCTGTGCTTCCTGGACTTGTAAGTCTATTTCTTTCACCAGGTGGGGGAAGTTTTCTGTCATTATTTCTTCAAATAGGTTTTCAATATCTTGCTCACTCTCAACTTCTGGCACCTCTATAATTCTGATGTTGGTACGCCTGAAGCTGTCCCAGAGGCTCCTTACACTATCTTCATATTTTCGGATTCTTTTTTCATTTTGCTTTTCCAGTTGGGTGTTTTTTGCTTCTTTGCATTTCAAATCTTTGACTTGATTCTTGTGCTCCTCTGGTCTGCTGTTGGGCGTCTGTATAATATTCTTTATTTCAGTCCGTGTATGCTTAATTTCTAGTTGGTTCTTTATCACAACATCGAGGGTCTCATTAGATTTCTTGTAGATCTCAATAAGTTTATCGGCGGCTTCTAGACAGTTCTTGAGGGACCTTAAAAGTGTGGTTCTGAACTCAATATCCTCCATTGACAATTTTGTCCTGTTTCTTTGTCTCCGAATTTTTTATGCTTTCTTGGTGCACCCCCTAGTGGTCTTTGTGGGCAGTCTTGTTGTAGTTAAGCCTTGATTGTTGTAGTTAATACTAGGGGGATTTGGCCT